AAGCCTAAGATGATAGTGTTGTTATATTATATGCTTAACACGCCCCCTCACTTGTGCGAGCCAATACTTTCTTTTTTTATCAGGTGACACAGAGATTCAAACCCATGACCTTTAGCATGGCTCTAATACCAAATTGAAGCATGTACTCCATCTCAACTAAAAACCTAAGTTGATAGTTAGATTGCACATTTATGTTTATGTTATATTATATGCTCAACAGTTGAAACATTACTTATAGAAAGGTGTGCATGCATTGTAACGTAGTTGGTTGGGAAATCCAATAATCACAAAGTACTGCATTCAGTTGAGTGCTGATGTGCACACGAGTTGACATAGCAAATCTAGTGTGCAATACCCAGTACCAGCTGGTGCACACCTAGATAATGACGCAAAGGATACGTTTAAAACACCACATACATCTACAGAAAAAGACTAAAAACATTGAACAAAAAAATAGAAATAGCATAACATAATGCAATTGTCCAAACAAAATAGGACCAACAGAAGACTAGAAAGCCATAATGTTTTAAATACGAATATACTGAGTTTACAATATATGGAGTACGTTTTAAAGAGACGGCAAATCTAGTTGTTTTTGCTAAAAGGACGTGTAATTGAATAAATAAAGGGCTACAATTTTTATTTCAATGTAGTGTGCATCCATGAGTCAACACAATTGCCGCAGGTGTGCATACAGTTTTGGATGTGTGTGCACACAGGAAGAATGATTGGGGCATTGTACAAGATTGCAAAATGATGAATTTTTTTATTGTGTGGATGCGCTCAGCTAGCTCTCCATTGGAACTTGGAACGGTTATAAAGTTGTGGTTAACCGACAGGAAGCACACACCTATAGAAATGTGTGCACGCATTGTAACGTAGTTGGGTGGAAAATCCACTAATCACAAAGTACTGCATTCAGTTGAGTGTTGATGTACACAGGGTTGACATAGCATATCTAATGTGCAATACCTAGTACCAGCTGGTGCACACCTAAATAATGAGCTAAAGGATACGTTTAAAACACCACATACATCTACATAAGAAGACTAAAACACTAAACACAAAAAATGGAAATAACATAATGTAATAAATATAGCTCTCGAAAATGAAATAGATACAGTAGTTGGAAGGATAATGTATATAATCACCCTACGACAACAAAAATCCTAACCCAAAATCAGTATAGTTCTCCCAAAACATGTGCAAACCATAGAGAAGACATATTTGAATGCAACACTAAATAATAGAAATAAACTAAAACGCTCGTGTCTTCTTGCAGCCTAGGAAACCTAGCAGGCTAGCAGCGTCCTCCACAATGAGTTCATAATCGGGGGCATTCCACACAGGGTCTTCTTGCAGCCTTGCAAAGAGAGCCGAAGGTGACGACACAAAATCATTGTCAACATCAGAAATTCCCGAACCACTAGCTTCTGAATGTGATACCTTGGAATTCATTCATACCTATAGCAACAAGGCAACACGCTAGAGAATATCAAGTTTATGGACACATTCGAATTGAGAAATACACACAATAGAGTACAGTAACCTATACGTGTGTGACCCAACTAAAAGAATAAAAACACCTAAAAAAAAACTACAAAAAACCCATAAAATTGAACTCCCAACCTTGACATCAACAAACAGATAGTGCACCGCAGTTCACAACAGGAAAAGATAACAACAGGAAAACGACAAGACCATATATAGGACTAAACCATAAACAAACAAACAAAAAAGAAACAAAAACAACAGACACACAAAAACAAATAGATTTGCACACAGTCACACATGCCAATGCACATGGTCACTACAAATTTAACAACACTGTACATCATGCACAGAAAAACATTATGGTCAGTGTTGAGTGTGCACACAAGTGCACACACATGCAAAACTAAGGCCAATTCTACCAGAAAGCGAAATCTAACACCCCCTTCACAGAGCACCACTTCAACAACATACAAAGCAACAACAACACCGAAATATACAATAACAAAGCCAAAAAATCCCACACCCACTGGGAAACAAATAACAGCACTACAAAACAAAAACTCAAAAAAAAAAAGTCAACCCACAAATATAGGTATGATACCCTAAAATAGAAACGAAATTTTAAAAATGAAATGGAAGGCCAATAAAATCAAATGCACATATAGAAAAATAATATTGGAGTTGGGATTACACGTATAAATAATGTAATAGTTATTTAATCAAAACAATCATAATTTACTTGTGTCATTAAATAGTTTATAGAAATAAACTTTATATCAGATGTATGCTATAAATTCAATGAAAAAGAACAATGGCCCGAGCACTAATTTGATTATGCAATTTACCCAAATATTAAAGGAAGCACTGATTTGATTCTGCAATTTACCCCAATATTAGAAGAAAAATTACTAATTGGTGAAGCAACCCCCAATAGTTAAAATAAAGCCAGTAGCCGTCATCTGCCAAAATCTCCAAATAACTAAACAATACAGCAACCCCCCCCCCCTAAACAGCTTACGATACAGTACGGGGAACCCACCTATTCACACAATACACCCACCCAATTGAAAAAAAAAAACACAAACAAGAACACAAAAAACGACAAAAACATGCCTTATAAAACCCTACCTTGTGTGGCAACTAGACTCGGGGACTGCCACTTGTGTCGACCGTGGTCCCCAGCTAGTACCATCTGCGTTGTTGGAGAGTCGCAAGAACGAACCCAAAGCTTTGCAAATGAAGGAGATTAAAGAAAGCGCAAATCAGTTGGAGAGAGAACAAAGTTGGGAGAGAGCCGACGACAACCATCATCCGCCGCTGATGAAGAATGCAAATTGAACGACGTGGCAAAGTCTTCTTCGGCAACCGTACAGTAAAGAGAGAGAGAGATCATATCGTGAAAGACTAAATATCTAATGCTGATTGGATTCCTATAATTTGATCCGATTAAAACAATAGTCAAAAACCAAAATTACCCTCCCTAACCTAAAAACAAGTGCAAGGTTAAATAAAATATGCATAAATAATAAAATAAATCCTATCCATCTAATTCCAAAATCTAACGATCCTAATCAATCCACACGTTTGATTTTAAGGGTTGTTTGTATTTAAATATAATCCTATATTAGTATATATATTAGTTGCTTTTGCACGAGTAATGCATTAGCTGCATATATATATGGTTTGGGAAATAATTAATGTTACAATTAATGCCACAACATACTTTATTATTATTAAAAAAAAGCACAACATTTAAAAAATAAAATATCTATATATTATATAATCATATAAAAACATATACTTTTGAAAAATAAAATAGCTATATATTATATAATCATATAAAAAATGCGTTCAATTAGAGTTTAAATTTACACATACAAAATTTGAAATTTGTTTTCCAAATGTAATTATCTTAGTTATTATTCGTATTGTGAAAAAAAAAACACAACATTTAAAAAATAAAATAGCTATATATTATATAATCATATAAAAAATGTGTTCAATTAGAGTTTAAATTTAAAGAATAAATCAATGTAATTATGTAAATTCTCTCTATAAGTTTATTTGAATATATACATAATTAGAGATTATATTAACCATACAAAATTATAATTATAATTTTAATTGTAATTGTAATTGTAATTTTGTATTCTATAAAAATAATAAATACTTGACTAATGGAAGCTCAAAAAGATTATTATATTAAATAATTTAAAATATTTTAATTTTTCTATTTTTTATTTATATTTATAATAACATAATTTTTTCCCGTGCATCGCACGGGTGAATTACTAGTTTCCCTTAAAATAAAAACATGAGCTCGTGCACACATTAACATACATACATGCACACAGGGCGCATTGCCAACAATTTCTGGGATTAGCACGTGCACACATTAACATACTTACATGCACACAGCGCGTAGGAGGAAAAATCACAACCATCCATCAAAGCTCGTACACACATTAACATACTTACAGACACATAGCGCGTAGGAGGAAAAAATCACAACCATCCATCAAAGCTCGTGCGCACATTAACATACTTACATGCCCACTGGGTACACTGCCAACAATATCTTAGATTAGCTCGTGCACACATTAACATACTTACATGCACACAGTTTGTATTTTAAGAGGGATTTGTATTTTAAAATAATCCTATATATATATATATATATATATATATATATATATATATATATATATATATATATATATATATAGGGTCCGGATCAAGTGAGGACCTAATCTTAGGTGAGGACGTGAGGACTAATCTAGACCATTAAATAAGAATGATGTATGATTGAGATTAAAAGAAACAAATCACACGGATTAAGAAAAAAAATCCCTTAAAAATATTAAAATATATAAATTTAGGGTAAATCAGTCTTATTAAAAGATGTGCATTCCTATACAAAATGTTGTGCATTCCTATACTGAGTGTTGTGCATCAATAACTTCATTGTTGTGCATTCAAACCCCGCCAAAAAATCATACAGTGAACATCCATTGTTCTACGGTGCATTGAACTATGTGCTATAATGCACAACTCCCTAGCCTATAGTGCATAACTTACAACACTAGGTTGCACAATCAGCACACACGAATGCACAATCGTACTACCCAGGCATTTATACATATACACGACAATCCAAATATAGACAATATTATACTCAAAAGAACAAGCAAAAAAAAAATACTGATTAGTTTGCGTGGGCAAACACTCAATCAATGATGAAGAAATCGCGGCTCCAAATTGCAACGGTGGTGATCCAAGAAAATAGGAAACCAATTTGGCCAAGGATTATACATGCGTTCACACTTAAAAAAATAGAAAAAGACATTATTATCCCACTTTAACAAAAAAGATCAATCCATGTCATCTCAAGAACTCAAATCTGGACCATCCAAATAAAAAAAACAAACGCACAAGATTAGTCCTCACGTCCTCACCTAAGATTAGGTTCTCACCTGATCCGGATTATATATATATATATATATATATATATATATATATATATATATATATATATATATATATATTGACAGGATAATAGGGCTGGCACCCGACCCGGATCACATGTGGGCATTGACTCAGCATCACATGGGAACTCAACGGGCAGAACTCCAACGGTTATGAATTCCAATAGGTGCCACTTTACTACCATTGAAGCCAGCATTGAAGTCCCCATTGATGAGAGAGAGTTAAAGGTTAGGCTCCCCATTTATGTCCCACGTTGTTACCGTTAGGACTCTAAGTATAAATGGGGCTCTCCTCAGCTAGCAAATGACACACTGTACTTTCTATACTGAGACAAAAAGCAATACAACTATTGTTACTCTCTCTTTCACGTAACGTTATTCTAATATTATATTTCCGATAACATTATTACCGTCATTGGTGCTTTCATTGAGAGCCTGAGTCCAATACTCAAGCAGGCTACGACACACACAACTCATTCCTCTTTCACCAGCAAGCTTGAAAGAATGGTGTCCCGCAGCTCCCACGGTTCCCGCAACGTGAACAATGGCAATGCCTCAGGTGACCTCCGGGACCAACTCACCAACAATCGCGGAGGGGACCTCCGAGAACAAGCTCAACAACGGGAGGCCCAGGGACCTTCGAGACCAACTCAATAATGGAGGAAACCTTCGAGACCAACTCAACAATGGAGGGGACCTCCGAGACGAGCTTCACAATGGAGGGGCGAACCAAGTCGTGAACCTCCAGGCGACCATCCAGCAAGCGGTGGCAGCGGCACTAAACCAAGTGGCGGTGGGACTACAAGGCCAAGTGCCCTCGTCGCGGCCCCAGGAAATAAGGGTGGAGACCCAAAGAAGTGGACCCGCCAGACGACAACCAGGCCCTTCCCAATCTGCACCAGAACGATTGGGACAAAGGGCGCCCGTGCGGCAAAGATTAGGATCACGGGCCGAGGGATCCTCTACCAGAGGTCCTCGCCAACACGAAAACAGAGAAGCCGAGAGATCACCCGCAGAGGAGGTGGGCGAGTCTCGGGAGCCGACCCCACGCCAACACGTTGATGAGTCGGCTTTACGTCGACACTTGGAGGAGCGACGCGTCGCAAAGCCGGCTCCGCGACGGCACTCGGCGGGGAAGCGACGCGTTGATGAGCGGGTTCCACACCGACACTTGGAGGAGCGGCAGCCGGCCCCGCACCGGCACCTTGATGAGTCGGCCCTGGTCGAGAGGCTGCAGAGAAGAATCGAGGAGTTAGCAAGAAGGGTGGAGGCACGGGAGCAGTCGCCGGAACCCGAGGTACGGATGGCAGCACCATTCTCCCCAAGCATCATGGACATACCTTTGCCGAGGGACTTTAGGTTGCCCGCCATCAAGGAGTACATGGGGGTCACTGACCCACGCGTCCACTTGACGAGGTACAAGGCTGCTATGGTAATGATCGGTGCAGGGGACGCCATCATGTGCCGAGCGTTCTTGTCCACCCTGGATGGAGCGGCCCAAGACTGGTTCAACACCATCCCTGATGGGTCGATCCAAAACTTTGGGGAGTTATCCAAGAGCTTCCTGACATACTTCTCCGGTAGCATACAGCGTAAGAAACCCTTCCACTACAAGAAAATTCTCGATTTGCGACGGAATTTTTCCGTCGCGAAAACGAGAAATTCTGTCGCGAATCACGTTTTGCAACGGAATTTTGCATTTTCGCGACGGAATTCATTCCGTAGTCTCCAGGCTTGTAGTATTCCATTTCGTGATGGAAATAATCCGTCACGAGCGGTGGCGACAGAAAAACGCAACGGAATTTTCCGTCGTGAAGTTGGCTACGGAAATCATTCCGTCGTGAATCTATCGCGATTTTGGCAACGGAAATCTTTCCTTCCGTCGCCATCGTGTGAGAAAATATTCCATCGCGAAACTCATATTCCGTCGCACATCGTCGTGAAATATAACAACGAAAATAATTGTCATCGCGATTCCGTCGCTAACCTTTCCGTTGTAAATTTTGTATTCCGTCACGAAATTCCGTCGTAACAAAACAATAGAACAAACTCTCGTCGCAATTCCATCGCTAGATATTCTGTCGCAAAATTTGTTTTCCATCACGACATTTCGTCGTAAGAAAGTAATAAAACTAATTACTGTCGCGATTTCATTGCATTTTGGGCGACAGTAATCTTCTCGTCACCAATTTCGTCGTCATAACGACAACGAATATTCTATTGCTAAAATCACATTTCGTTGCTATTCTTCTAAATTATTAATTTTTTAATATTTCAGTAATTATTATTATTATTATGTTAAAATTCTAAGGTGAGTATATAAAATGTTAATATGCAGTTATATTTATAAACAAAAGCACTATTAAAACTAAAATACAATATAATTTGTAATATAAAAGTAATAGTGCTTTATAATTCACAAATTTAATGGTGTACTTAATATGAAATTCATTTCTAAACAACAATATAATAATCCATAAAATATGAATATCAAGTCTAATCCACTTGTGATGATGAAGTACCAGCTCTCTCACATTCAAGAGATCCAATCTTT